AACAAAAATGCATAACACATGTAACTGGAAGCGAAACTAATGACATAATCAAAATATTGATCTTCAACACCACTTCAAATAAAAGCTAGAAAGGCAACTCTCAATAATGCCTGAAAGAGCGATAATAGCTACTGGACTTGAGAAACCAATTTCTGTCCTGAAAAATTGTTCCCACCGCCCTAATGTCGCTTCCCTGTGCTTGTTCTATAAATAATTTCAAGGTAAACGTTCTAATGAACTTTCCTCTATAGTGTTAATATAATATTATATTCACGGCGTTAACAACTAGTATACTTAAAAGTAATACTATTAACACTGAAATGGTATATTCAGGTTATCCATAAAGTTCGTGTGCACTTTAGAAAATTTATAATTTTATTTGTATTTGCGATAGAAATAATTTGTAAAAAGGATTAGAAAGAAGTAAATCTATATTTTTTAAGGATTTATGGAAATTTTATTTAAGTTTCCATTATATTAAAATTTATTCTTAGTGGATACTCGCATTTAAGTAGACGTTACGTTTATTTATTAAACAGTATATTTATTTGTTTTCGTCTATCAGCCTGAATATTCGTGAAATTTTATTTTAAAAATATACGTGCCCTCGGGGAGGATTCGAACCTGCGTTCCCCTAGAAGAAACCATCATTAGATATGACGTGCTTTGATATCTCCGCCATAGAGTTCGTCGATGACCAAGAAAAGCTGAATACTGCCGTTAAAAATAGATTTTTCTCTGACTCATGAAATAGACATATCTACTCAGTTTCTTATCCTAACGTAAACAAAGCAATTTGTAAGGAAAGGGATGAATGTTTTATTTATCTCAAGATATTCATCTCGAGAGATTGTTATTATTTAAATGTTGTTTTTGGTGGATATTCGTGTCTGAATAGACGTTCCGTTTATTTATTAAAGTAGATTTATTTATTTTCGTCTACCGGTCTGAATGTTTGAGAAATCTTTTGAAAGAAAAAAATAACGCTCTCTGGCAGGGTTAGAAACTGCGCTCCTCTGGGCAAAGTGAGCCAGCGTTAGTTCCGATACGCTCTGACCAACTGAGCTGAGTCGGATTATTAAAAATCCATTATTTCTTTAGATAATTTACTTTATTAGACGACTCAACAGAGAAGTTCGCTTTTCAGCGGGTGAGGGCGAGGTGGGGCGAAGTTCTTGGCACAAAACTTAACCATCAATGAAATTCCAACATTGTAAACTGTCTACAAAAATCGAAGTGAAGGTGATAATGTTTGCGTTTCAAGCTTTCTAACCGACGTAAAATGCGTAAATTATTCTAACATTACAAAACGGTTTGCTGCCAAAATAAACTGCTAAAATACCCATTGATATAAAAGAAACATTTTAATTCTTAGGTGATTCCGAGCAAGGCATTTATTAAGGCAGCTTTCTAGACAGCGGAGACAGTTACTTCTCAAAATGTCCGACCATGCAAATAACAATTTTTTTCCTTTTCATTCGCTTTTGTTTTGTGTTTTTTGCTCTCTGACGTGACCCCATCAAACTGACTGAATGCCACAGCCACTGGACGCGTACAAACATCTTTTATTAACTCTTGAGAGATACAGGCTGTTATTTGAAGCTTTTCAGGATTTTTTTTTTTTTATCAATTTGACGACTGGTCTACAAGTCAATATTAGGTTACAGCGTGCGTTGATGAGTTTGTGTGGGCGAAAATACTCACATTATAGACTCCAGCATTTTCTTCTCCGAAAATGTCGCTGGATTTAGGGTTAGAAAGAGAAAGGCTATTATTTGGGCTGTTAGTAACAGAACTATTGTCGCCATTTGTACTTAAATTAGTATTCGAGAAATACACAGGCTCGAAAAAAAACTACACTTATATAGAAGAATCAAGATCGTGTTTTCTGGACGCCGCCTACCAATCCTGTCTGCTTGCTTGTAGTACGCATGCGCGTAATGCATATTATGGGTTAATGTTAACATTCGAGGTCGACAGACGTTTGTTAAAAGGAATGGAAATTATTAATGCCGAATCTGGCATACGTTTTAGACATTAATAAACTGTTTATATTTTATGAAACAAACAAGAAAGATTATATATTTGTTAAAATTTGTCACAAGTTAACTTATAGTTGGAAGATTGTTATAACAATCTTCTAAGTGGAAAGGATTGCCTGCCTGGAAAATCAGCCTAAAAATATATTTACTGCTCGATATTGAACACCGATCAATAGCAACAGTATATTATGAGCAATTGTATCAATCATGAAGTCTGATTTTTGTTTACGATTATTTTTGCCGTATCGGAAAAAATGATGGTCGAATACAAAATGTAGCAATTTAATTGCGGAAATAATAACAGTGTCTCGCTGAAGTAATGTGTCAGGCAAATATTTGTCCCGGGTACAAAAGGGCTAAACTCACTGTCCAATTGGTTGAATACCTGTGCAGTACGTGTTTCGGGTGTGGTTCCAGTAGCAAATACGTTTTTTTTTTTTTCCTTTTTTTTTTTACGGGGTGGAGATGCAAACTCCACTCGTTACCGGTTTTGAATTCAGAATAGTTCTTTTAGACTGGCTGCCAACCAAGGCTAGATCTTATTCTGTCTTGCTATTTAATCCATAGCTCGTGCAGAAGAAATAAATTCGTCTTTCCAAAGGGCATTTGTGTTTATATTTTTAGTTATTCTTTTCATTTTTCTATTTTTAATTAACGTAGTAAAATTTGTTTTTGTGTCTGCATTTTGAGGTGAGTTCTGATCGTTTATTTAGTAGTGTGTTTTGGTCTACGAAGGTAATTATATCTATTCCTCCAAGCAGAGTTTGCAGTTTTTGAATTGATTGTTGTACGCTGATGCTCTTTTCTTTATTATCCATGATATTTTTGGTGTAATTTGCTTTTTGTTTATAATTTTCCAGATATACTTGGAAAGCATTGTTCTGTTACTATTTGGGAAAGATATTTTGTTTGAGTATTTTCTTTGTTTCCAGGGTTCTTCAGTTACTCTTATGTATAAATCTGATGATTTTGCCGTTGCTTGGTATATTACATTGTTGTGTAAGCAATTGCCGTTTAAGGGACATTCGTTCTTTATTCTACAGTTACACGTGGGTTTAATTTGTTCGGGTGGTGTGCTGATAGTTTCTCTGTTTTCGGTGCAACTGTAGCTGATTTTTATTGTGTTTTTGAATATGTTGTGGAGAGTGCACCATTCGGGGAAGTGTTTGAGTAAGAGTTTGATGAATATTTTTCCTACGTTTGTCTTTATGATTTTGCTGTACGGTGGGTTGATCCATATGATGTTTCTCTTCATGTTAGTTTTTTTTTCCTCTGGCGTGTGTATGTGAGTGTTGCGGGGAATCCACTATCTTGTAGGGCTCCTTGAATATGGTTTCATTGGAAGAATTTTCGGAAAGCCAGTGGTTAACTGATTTTGGTCTCTGATTATAAATGATGGCCTATTCGAAGATGTGTGTATACACAGTGTTTTATCATTGGCTTTCTGTATGGTTTATTTGTAACTTTTCTTAGGATGAACGTGACACCAGAAAATCTACTTTGTTTATGATAGTTTTTTATGTTTATGCCGATTCCCATATTTTTGAAAATCTTTATTATTGCTTTTCTAGTTTTGTCTGTTTTGTTTGTTATAGTTTCTTAGGTTTATAAGACTGTCGTCCCTGTGGAGTCCTTTATCATTTCTATTTTTTATTTAGTTTGTGAACTAAATATATAACTTTGAGTTCACAGGTTCTGCACCGTCAAAGCTTCCCAATGTAGTGTCAAAATCTCTTCTTTCTTTATTCATGCGTTTATTCATGGGTTCTGTTATAGAAGGGTAGAATCTTTTTTAGTCTAGCTGTATAAATTGGAAATTATGTTTGGTTATGTGTTGCGGAAACAGTCTGTAATTGTTTTTGTGTTTTTCCACTGATTTGCTAGTAACTTCTTCTTTCTAATTTCATTTTACTTATTTTACGTAGTTCACTTTTGGTTGGGTATATGAGTTTAGCGTGTTGGGTTGGTTTTGGAATTTTCTTTGTGGTCTTTTAGTGCGATAAATGCTTACGCCTTAGTGATACAACTTATTCGTTCATCTACGTCTAGTTTTTGGGGTGATATTTTTATCTTCCTTATTGATATAGCGTTCTATTTGTACTATAATAGGCAATGGGAAGTGCTTATTTGCGATTTATAGTGTGGACCCAATTAACCACGTAGAGTGAGATATACCTAATATATATATATATATATATATATATATATATATATATATATATATATATATATATATATATATATCATAATTTTATTATTAAACTTAAAACCTGGAGCGCAGTTTCATTCTCAAGGCATATCTAAAACTTTGGGACATGAGTCAGTATCGAAACATAGTAATTTCTGTGTTGCGATGGGATCATATTTAAAAAAATAATCATATATATATATATATATATATATATATATATATATATATATATATATATATGTATGTGTATGTGTGTGTGTGTGTAAAATGAGAAGGAATGGAATTTAATTTATTTAGTAAAGTCCGGTTGAGATATGTTAATAGGCATCGAAACATGATTGCATTTGTGTATCGTTTTTACATGTTTTGATGATATATACTAAAATATATATATATATATATATATATATATATATATATATATATATATGTACATATATATATATATATATATATATATATATATATATATATATATATAGTTGCATTGATGTGAGCTTGGGATCTTGGGTTTCACGCCCTTGCGATCGTCAGACAAACGATCTAAGAGAGGAAGAATGCGTTATAACTTTGGCAAGAACGAAAATAAAAAAGAGCCTTAATTTCCATATAAACATTAATACTGCATCTACTCGCGTATAAGTCGACCTCAAGTACAGTGTGATTCTTGAATTTTTTGCATGAATTTTACCCCCTCCAATAACAGAAGATACCTGTGTATAGTGCGCCCTCTTATTTTTGCGTAAGAATGATCATCAAAACATGTACTATACTCGAGCATAAGTGAGTGAAAGAGAGAGGGAGAGAGAGAGAGAGAGAGAGATGTGCTCGAAAGAAAATGTGACATGAATATAAATTTCCTGTTGACGAGTCGAAAGCAAGAGAGAAAGAGAGATTGGGAAAGAAAAAGGAGGAGGGCTTAAGCAGAGGCGGGATAGAAAAAGAAGGGAAATAAAGTGCAGGAGGAGAAGGAGGAGGAGAACTACCATTAGAAAGAACTGTATGCGAGGGGGTAGTAAAGTGGGGGATGAGAGATCGATATATATATATATATATATATATAAATATATATATATATATATATATATATATATATATATGTGTGTGTGTGTGTGTGTGTATATATATATAGAGAGAGAGGGAGAGATAAAGAGAGAGGGAATGTATGTGTGAGAGAGAAAGAGCGAGAGAGGATAGAACGAGGAAATGTTTAAGAAAGTGATAAAATAAGAGAGACGAAACGGTGCAGAAGTAGGGGGGATTAAAGGACGTGAGGGAGAGAGAGAGAGAGAAAGAGAGAGAGGGAGAAAGTGAGAGAGAAAGATAGAGAGACGGGGAGTAAGAGAGAGAGAGAAAGTAGTAGTAGAATTAGTAAAGTGTGAGTAGAATGACAGAGACACTGAGAGAGTGAGTTGTAAAGTGTGAGAGTAAACGCCGACAGAGAGAGAAAGAGAGAGTGAGAAAGAGAGAGAGGGAGACAGAGCGACAGAGAAAGTATTAATAGTAGAAGTAGTAAAGTGTGAGTAGAGAGTGACAGAGACACAGAGAGTGAGTAGTAAAGTTTGAGAGTAGCGGGTGACAGAGAGATTAGTAAAGTATGAGAGTAAACGGTGACAGAGAGAGAGAGAGAGAGAGATACAGACAGACAGACAGAGACAGAGACAGAAACAGAGGGAGAAAGAGAGACAGAGAAAGTAGTAATTGTATAAGTAGTGAAGTGTGTGTAGAGATTGACAGAGAGACAGAGAGAGTGAGTAGTAAAGTATGAGAGTAAACGGTGACACAGAGAGAGAGAGAGAGAGAGAGAAAGAGAGAGAGAGAGAGAGGGAGAGAGAGAGAAAGACATGTGCTCGAAAGAAAATGTGACATGAATATTAATTTCCTCTTGACGACTCGAAACCAAGAAAAGCCAAAGAGATAATTTCAACAAGAATATCTAATTCTCATTCGTCTAATAAAGATTTTTTCTGTGAAAAAAGCCAGACATTACAAAAAAAAAATATATCAATAGCTTAATATGCATGACGTAAGAGACTGGGTTTTGTCTTCTTGAGAGTCGGATAGACAATCAGCTGGCTCTATACAAATACTTTCCCACACCAATGATTAAAAATGGCTTATAGGAATTGAAACGTGTAGATCTTGAACAGAAACATCCTTCTTTGAATTTCATGGATTCATACTCCAGAATCACAAAGCTGCTCGGCCCGGGGGGCAATGATCAAAGTGTAGTACGCTGCCTTTGTGAGCTTCAGAGTCGGCGTCTGTCGAACTCTCTGCATTAGCAGAGAGGAACCCGGACGAAGCTTTGCCGAAGGGTAAAGTTTCGTCCGGGGAGGTAGACAGGTCCTGAACCCGTCTAGGCGTGTTCAAAAAGGCTATATTTTTGGCCGAGCCTACGGGCTCGGGGATACCCACATTAAACCGGCCTTGTGCCACATTCTATCCTCGTGGGTGGATTGATAAATACTATACTCCAGAATCACAAAGACCTCAAATCAAATAACAGAATCCAAATTGCTTGAGAGATTTCCACATCAGAAACAACTAAAAATGACAACACCTGTAATTCGAAGAGACATTAATAACATAATCGTGATATTGATATTCCACACCACTTCAAACAAAGCGTTAGAAAGGAAACTCCCGTCAATACTGGAAAAAAATGATAATGGCTATTGAACCGGAGAAAATGTTGTGCAGTAAATAAGATATCCTGGTAACACAAATGAATCAAGCAAGACGTCTAAATTAAAAAAACAAAAAAACAAAAACAAAAAAAAAAAACACAAAGTGAGTCAAGGGAAGTCCGGTGCAGTCTGTCGGACAGAGGGTGGAAAGACCTCCGTCTTCGGGCAGAGTGTGGCAAGACCTCCGTCTTCGGTCGGATGGTGACAAGACCTCCGTCTTCGGGCGGATGGTGACAAGACCTTTGTATTCGGGCAAAGACTGGCAAGACCTCCGTCTTTGGGCAGAAGATGGCAAGACCTCCGTCTTCCGGCGGATGGTGACAAGACCTCTATAATCGAGCAGAGGGTGACAAGACCTCTGTCTTTGGGCAGAAGATGACTTAGTCGGGCTCTGTCTTCGGATAGAAACACGATTGAGAAAAGAAGACCGGTTCTGTACCCTAGACCGCTTTTGCAGGGGTTGGTTAAATTTTGACCAGTGGCCCGGGTGGAAACGCTCAGATTCTCCACGGTAAACTTGACCTTGTTTCGCATCTAGTTTGTTTAGTGGGGCGACCGGTAAATACCAGTCCGACGAAATCAGGTAGTTCCCCGCCAGGCTCGCGGCTGATTTGTCGAACTTTTACCCTGCAGAGAGGAACCCAGACGAGGCTGTGATGAAGGGCAGAGTCTCGTCTGGGGAGGGAGACAAACATATCAATTTCTGAGTAATATAATGGAAATATATTAGATATAGATATATTATATATATTAATATAAAATATAATATATATATTATAATATATATATATATATATAAATATAATATAATATATGTATATAATATATACACATTAATGCATGTTTCATTAAATAATATAGACAAGTTTTGTCGATTTATTTTAAGCAAATTGCTTTCATATCGTCTGATAAGCTTAATAACATTGTCATTGAAAGACGAAAGAAAATCACTATATTGATATATGTTTTTGAATTCTATCTAAGTTTTCGGCTTACATAAGCCATCATCAGAGATGACAAGTATATTACAATAAATTAAACAATACACGGACATAGCAACAATGATAGTCTGTTTTTCTTTGCATGGATGATTTCCAAGCAAAGACAAACTCGTGTCTAGGAGCCGCTGGAATCGAAAATCGCACCGCGGCCCATGACATCACACATGACCATGCGAGAGTGAAAACGAGAAGTGTTAAGTATGGGAAGCCGTTGGTATAAACCGATGGCTTCTCTTATCAATTATTGGCATTTAAGTATATTTGTGGAGTTTTCATAGTTTATTTTGTTCAGGTTATATACACATATATACACACACACATATATATTTAATATGGAATATATATATAATATAATATAATATAATATATATATAGAGAATATTATATTATATATATATATTTTTCATTGAATACGACAGACAAGGTGCTTTTATTTATTTTTTTATAAAATTTCTCATGCGATCTAATAATTTTTTTCTTTTCAGATGATAAATTTTGTACCGGACACTATCCGTAACATACTTGACAACACTAATATTTTAGCACCATCTACTTGCAAAAAAGGCTAAAAATAATGGAAGCCTTATTAATAAAAACACGAAAAACACCACTTAATTATATTAACTTTGAACATGGAGACAATATCTTGACGGTGTTTTGAAAAATGAAAACATTTTATAAAACATACATACAACAAATTATTTCTTACTTAACAGTTAAAATATTTAATCCTTGAAAATGGCTAAATGTATTGCCGAAAGCGCTCGGATAAAAAGAACATTTGGACAGTTTTAAACTTATCTGAAAAGAAAAAAATATATTAGATCGCATGAGAAATTGTATGAAAAAAACTAAATAAAAGCACCTTGTCTGTCGTTTTTAATGAAATGTGCATGAAAGAAGGATTGCTGCCTAAATACACACAAACACACATATATATTATATTATATATAAATGATTCTTTAAATTTTAAGATAGCAGCAAGATAGGACGAACTATTCAGTGTATCGTTTGATGAATCAATGTGGAATGAGACATTCGACTTTAAATCGTGATACTTTCATTGATGACAATATTACTGATAGGATTCGTAGTAAATATAATCGAGAAAAGTGGAATATTCTCAAATGAAAATAAACACAATGAATTAGAATTTTTTTTTTGTAAATTCTGAAGCGTATGTCTTTATGACGTGACTCTTTAGTAAACATTATTGCAAGATGTTTCCTGGTTGGTGATTTCGTATAGTAATCGAAATTCGATTTGCCAACGTTTAGAAGTCTGTCATTTGTTAATTGCATCATTCGATCAGCTAAGGTTGCAACGCGCGCATAGAATTTCCCTCACATGCATATCTATACACACACGCATTGAGTAACATAAATGAGATTTTAGGTTTATTCTTTGAACAAATCTATCTATCTATCTATCTATCTATCTATCTAAAACAGAATGTAGATATCCCAATCTATTTATCTATCTATCTATCATTCTATATATCTTTTTTATTACAGGATGTATCTATCTATCTATCTATCTATCTATCTATCTATCTATCTATCTAAATATTTATCTATCTATCTATATAAAACAGAATGTAGATATCACAATCTATTTATCTATCTATCATTCTATATATCTTTTTTATTACAGGATGTATATATCAAAATCTATTCGTATCTATCTATCTATCTATCTATCTATCTATCTATCTATCTATCATAGAATGCACATTTCACAATCTGTTTCTATCTATCTATCTATCTAAAACAGAATGTAGATATCACAATCTATTTATCTATCTATCATTCTATATATCTTTTGTATTACAGGATGTATATATCAAAATCTATTCGTATCTATCTATCTATCATAGAATGCACATTTCACAATCTGTTTCTATCTATCTATCTATCTATCTATCTATCTATCTATCTATCTATCTATCTATCTATCTATCTATCTCAGGATGTATATATCGGGATTGTATTATCTATCTATCATAGAATGCACATTTTTGATCTATCTATCTATCTCTGCTCGGGATTGTCTTATCTGCTATATGCACTTTTGATAATAAAATAAGCACACCACAACTCTCCTTCCGCTTCTAACTATCCACCACAATAAATATAACTTTTTTCACTGCTAAAGCTGACGTTACCTCTGCACATAATCAAACCTTACATCGATAGAAGAATTGGTTATATACATAAGATTAGGATTGTATTCCTCGATCTGTTGATCGATTGGTGTGAAATTAGAGAAGAAACATTTTTTCCTGTACCACACATATAACACCACACGAAATGAACGATGTTCATTCATCTCAAAGTCTATATTTACAAGACTTCATATCTATCTATCTATCTATCTATCTATCTATCTATCTATCTATCTATCTATCTAGAGGCACGTAGTATAAACGTCTGGTTGCATAGTATAAAACCAGTGCTTACTCATGCTTACTGATATCTCTCTCACTCTCTCTCACTCTCTCTCTCAATCTATCTATCTATCTATCTATCTATCTATCTATCTATCTATCTATCTATCTATCTCATTATTTTACTTTCTGTCTATGTATGTATGTATGCATGTATGTATCTATCTATCTATCTCATTATTTTTCTTACTGTGTATGTATGTATGTATCTATCTATCATTCTTTTCACATCTATCTATCTATCTATCTATCTATCTATCTATCTATCTATCTATCTATCTATCTATCTATCTATCTATGTCATTATTTTTCTTTCTATATACGTATGTATGTATGCATATATCTATTTCATTCTTTTCCCATCTATCTATCTATCTATCTATCTATCTATCTATCTATCTATCTATCTATCTATCTATCTATCTATGTCATTATTTTTCTTTCTATATACGTATGTATGTATGCATATATCTATTTCATTCTTTTCCCATCTATCTATCTATCTATCTATCTATCTATCTATCTATCTATCTATAGGCACGTAGTATAAACGTCTGGTTGCATGGTATAAAATCAGTGCTTACTCATGCTTACTGATATCTATCTATCTATCTATCTATCTATCTATCTATCTATCTATCTATCTATCTATCTATCTCATTCTTTTTCACATCTATCTATCTATCTATCTATCTATCTATCTATCTAT